AGTCTCCTGCCTCAGCCTCCCAAGTAGCTGGGACCCCAGACCCCTGCCACAACGCCTGGCTATTTTTTGGTTGCAGCCATCGTTGTTTGGTGGGCCCTGGCTGGATTTGAACCCGCCACCTTAGGTGTATGTGGCTGGTGCCTTAGCCACTTGAGCCATAGGCGCCTAGCCAGAGAGAGGATTTAGAGTGCATTCACATAATTTTTATAGACTTGTGTGATGGAGTTGGAAGGTGTTTTATGTTCAGTGCTGTGTATAGCAATGGAAGGCCACAGGGTCCATCCTTTGGGAGGCAGACCAGTAGTCCTAGGAAAGGTTGTAAAAAATTGGGATAATTGTGGTTGGATTTGGGATTGGAGGTTAGAATGGAGGAGTGGGAATGTGAAACGTTAGGAGATTCTACGCAGAGAGATTTCTTTGTGTTGAGATATTAGAAATAAGGCTTATGCTTGTAATCCTAGCTCTCTTGGAGGCCGAGGTGGGAGGATCACTTGAACAAGAGCAGACCTATCTCTGCTAAAAATTAGAAAAACTAGCCCGACATTGTGGTGGGTGACTGAGGCTGGAGGATCACTTGAGCCCAGGAGTTTGTGGTTGCTGTGAGCTATGATGGCACCATAGCACTCTACCCAGGGGGACAGAGTGAGACTCTCTCTCAAAAAAAGATTTTAGAAATAAAGTAAGGAGGGATGAAGTCTAGAAGAGTAGAAACATGTATGACATGAAGTGGAGGCGTGGGAAGGATTAGTGGATTGTGAAGAATTTAAACAGTGAGACAAAGAGGAAAGGGTGTTTTCTGAGAAACTGTTAGGAATAGTGATTTGTTTTTTAATTGAGTAACTACCAAGTGATGGTTTAAGTGATGGTGCTGGGTGACAGAGGTGGGATCCTGTTGGTTAGGAGCTGTGAAGAGGCAGATTGGGGACTGTAGGTGGGGCCACCTCAGCATTATAGAACTTAGAGTGAATTTTCTAAGAAATATAATTCTTTTGAAAAATCATTAAAAAGTACTTACTAGTGAATGTTAGCACTTACAAACTTTGTGGTCGTAACCTGTTTGATGGTGGAGTCCTTGCAAGGAACAGAAACCTCAAATAGGGAAAATGTTTACTTTATGATGATTTCCTTATGGTTGATTTATATCAGTGTAAAATTGATGAATTAGGAATTGATATATACATTCTATACTGCTGTTACTGTTTGATATAGTACTTTCTTAGGGTTTTCATTTTGAGGGGCTTTTAGACTTGGTATTTTCCGGGACAGATGCTTCTTAAAGGGAATTTTATCTTTGGGGAAATAAGTGTTAAAGATTAATTTGGTAAAAGCTGAACTTAAATATGTGTAGCTCTTATAATTATGAGCTTTTTACATTTACATTGACGTTCTTTTGTATAGGAGTTAAAGTTCCTCGTAATTTTCGCTTGTTGGAAGAACTTGAAGAAGGACAAAAAGGAGTAGGTGATGGTACAGTTAGCTGGGGCCTTGAAGATGACGAAGATATGACACTTACAAGGTGGACGGGCATGATTATTGGGCCACCAAGGGTCAGTGCTATAAATTATATATATTTTTTGTTATTTATTGTCATTTAGAATAATCAGTTTTATACTATTGATACTAAAATAAGCAATTATGATAACATCTAACTAAAATAATTCCTCCCTTTAAATTTACTTTGTATTTATTTATTGTTGCTTCTTGTGTGCGGGGTATGTTGCTTGATTATTTGGAGCAGGGGTCCTCAAACTTTTTAAACAGGGGGCCAGTTCACTGTCCCTCAGACTGTTGGGCAAGTTGGCTTCTAAGCAGGACAGGCAGTGGTGACAACCCCCCCCCCAGCGGGCTGCATGTGGCCCTGTTTGAGGACACCTGATCTGGAGGATTGGGGGGAAGAAGGGTGATATGGTCATTTGCCATAAAGTGTTTGCAGTTTAGTAAAGGAGAAAACATCAGTACAGATGACAGATTCTAAATATGGCAGAGCAAGTTCACTACGGGACTGTAGAATATGTTTCTTCTAGCTGGAATAATTGAGGAAGGCTGAACAGTGGAGGAAGTTGCCTTTGGAATGAGCCCTAAAGGACTGACTGGTAGGATTTGAGAAGGTGGTGATGGGGATGGAGAACATTCCAGATAGAGAGGAGAAAAGGTGAGGAAATGGAGGGGGATATTTGGGAAGAACAAATAATCATTTTGATGTAACATACTACTAACCCCCTTGCGTGTAATGGAGGGTTCCTTTTTCTTTTTCTTTTCTTTTCTTTTTCTTTTTCTTTTTTTTTTTTTTTGAGATAAAGTCTCACTTTGTCACCCTTGATAGAGTGCTATGGTATCACAGCTCATAGCAACCTCAAACTCTTGGGCTCAAGCTATTCTCTTGCCTCAGCCTCCGGAGTAGCTAGGACAACACCCAGCTATTTTTTTCTAGAGACAGAGTCTTGGTCTAACTCAGGCTGGTATTGAACTTATGAGCTCAGGTGACCGAGAGTACTGGGATTATAGGCATGAGCCACTTGGCCTGGCCTAACAGAGGGTTTCTGTTATGAATTGTTTATATTGAGTGTACTTTGCTCTCTGCCCTCTGACATTTCACATGCTGTGGAAATGTTGTAGGTCTCAATTTGTTATCTATAAAATACATAAAGTCTATGATTCTTACATTATTTCTACTGTTGTTACTGGAACCTGGCCCATTGTGTTTTGTTCTTAGGTCTTCCTCAGGTTGATGAAGTTTTTATTTTTAGGGGCCTAGTGTGGTGGTTCACACCTGTAATCCTAGCACTCTGGGAGGCAAAAGCAGATAGATTGCCTGAGCTCACAGGTTTGAGACCAGCCTGAGCCAGAGTGAGACCTCGTCTCTAAAAATAGCCAGGTGTTGTGGCAGGTGCCGATAGTCCCGACTACTTGGAAGAGGGAAAAAAAGTCTCCCCCTCCCAAAAAAAGAAAAGTTTGTATTTTTATTCAGAATTTTTTTTCTGGATTGGAAGTTCTTTCTTCTGCATTACATTTCTTACTCAAAGGTCCCTTTCACTGTTTTCTCTGCAGTAAGTCTTTGAAAAGTATATTATGTAATGTTTTTGACTTCTGGAAAGAACACAGTTTTTTTTTTTTTTATTTTTTTTAATCTTTGGTTTTGTATACTGGTTGCAGCCATACAATGAGAGCATTTCAGGTGTTTCCTGTTGGTTAGATTTCCTCTTATTACAAAAGAAAAATGATAATTAGCAGTGATAACTTTAGAGAATGAATTAATGCATCTTTATATCATTTTCTGATACTCCTTTATAAAATTTGCATATACTCCTAAAAGTTTCTCTCTTTCCTTCCTTGCTCTTATTTTTCCATAAGACAATCTGAGGAAGGTAATTTAATATTGATACTTAAAATTTTTTATAAATTGCTATTTGTGAAAACCTTGATTTTCTCTGTTGGTGGTGAACATTACTGCTGTGGTCTGTTAGATTGGAAAAAGTGCTTATAACTTATGAACATTCTGAATTAATACTTAGAAGATTAAACAGTCAGAACTTGGTGGAATGTAAATTTGAAATATAGATTGGATTTTTTTCCAGCCACTGTTTCCAGTGAGGGTGTTCTGGAGCTTGTGTATGAGTTTATCAGTGATCTTGTAGCACAGCCCTAGGACATGGAGGCTTGTGTTTCACCCAGCTGCGGTCCCTGGCAGGATTCCCCAAGCTAGTTGCCCTTTCAGCTGTCACTGAACCTCCAGAAGCTCTGGCTGTTAGGGCCCACAGAGGGGCACAAAGGCTGCCCCTCTACTGCTTCTCTCCTAGCTAGGGGGGAACATGGGGCACGTAGACAGGGTGTTGCCGTGGGCTCTCCCCTCCCAATGGGTCATGATCTTAGAGGTGCAAGGGACAAAATATTTTTTTCTCACCCATCACAAAGTTCATGGCCAAAGTACCTGTGATCAAAGACAGATGAACAAGAGAAAAGTACATACATTCTTTTTTGAGTTTTATGTGACATGAAAGCATCAGATATGAAGACCCAAAGAAACAGGAAAAACTGTATTTTTGTGTTAAGTTTGATGAAGAGTGGGTAGGTGCAGAAGCATGAATGGATCTAATGTTAACAAACAATATGATAAACTGGGAGAAGTTACCAAGGCTTGTTTCTTAAGATTCTTCTGTGTTTCTGTCCACCTCTCTGGGTATAAGGCACAAATTACTTCAGGGGGAGGTCAGCTAGGTTTAGGGACTTGCTACAGGGGAGAAAGAGTGAGAAGAAGATGACTACAGGAGAAGATGAGAGTGACCTTGCTTCTGCCATGGTGTTGTATTTTGGGGTAGCATGTCCTGAACCCCCTGTCATTTCCTTTGGTGCTAGGCAGAGATGGAAGGGCAGTGCCCTGCAGGGGCCTGGTGTTCTGGAGGTGGACTCTGTTCACCACCGGATACCTTCTCCTTTTTATTACCCTCTCTGTAGCAGGTGGTTGCAGCTTACATTCAGTAGCTTTTTCATAAAACTGACACTAGTTTGTGTCTTATGCCACTCGTTTTCTCTTTGGAATATGTGATATTGAGAGCAATGTTGTCTTCTACTTTGAGTATTAACATCCAGCCAGGATACTAGGAAAAACTCTTACCTGAACGTACTGTTACATGTTTTTTATTTTTTGTATTTTATTGGCTAAGAGCCCTAGATTTTTATGGTGTTCTAGTATTTATTTGGATTTATATGATTAACAGTTTTGTTTCTCTATGTGTTTGTGTGCATTTTTCTGCAGCAGTGTTTGTTGGCGTTAGACCAGCTTTAGCACCTTTTCCAAGTTTTCTTATGTAAATGAAGGTACTGTCCCCATCTTTAAAATGTAAAGGTTGTGAGAATTAAGTGAAATAATGATCAGATAATAGAGTACCTGATAAATATTAGTTCCTTTTATTGCTCTCCATTCTGTTTGCTCTTTTTGTTTTGTTTTCTTTTAGAGAGTGCAATTCTCACTCTGGCTCTGTCACCCTGGGTAGAATACAGTGTCGTCATCATGGCTCACAGCAACCTCAAACTCCTGGTCTCAAGCAGTCCTCCTACTTCAGCCTTCTGAGTAGCTGGGACTATAGGCAGCATCATTCCTGGCTACCCTTTTTCTATTTTTGGTAGAGATGGGGTCTTACTCCTGCTCAGGCTGGTTTCAAACTCCTAAGCTCAGGCTGTTCACCCACCTCAGCCTCTCAGAGTACTGGGATGATGGGTGTGAGCCACTGCGCCTTGCTCTTGCCATCATTAGATAAGAAAAAAACTTAGCTGTTAATTTAAAAATTAGAAGTGATAAAATTAAGCAAAGATGTCAAAAGTTAGAGTGATATGTACTGTAAGCATTGAATTAGATTAATAGGTTAGCTTAGGGATTTTTCTAATTTTAAAAAATTGAAGTAGAATTCACATATAGTGAATTCTCTTACCATGAGTTTGACAAATGTAGCTTGGTACCTACATCTCTATTGAGATACAGAACACTTCTGTCACCCCAGAAAGCTCCCTTTCTCATCCTACCCTTCTTCCTGCATCTGAGAGTTTTACATGCTATAGAAATTTGGTAAGTGAAATCATGCTGGGTACACTTGGGGTTATGCTTCATTTTTAAATTTATTTTTTATTTTTTATTTTTTTTGAGACAGAGTCTCACTTTGTTGCCCTCAGTAGAGTGCTCTGACATCATAGCTCACAGCATGGGCTCTTGGGCTCAAGTGATTCTCTTGCCTCAGCCTCCCGAGTAGCTGGGACTACAAGTGCCCGCTACCGTGCTCGGTTATTTTTAGAGATGGGGTCTCACTCTAGCTTGGGCTGGTCTGGAACTCCTGAGCTCAGGCGATCTGCCCACCTTGTGCTCCCAAAGTGCTGGGATTACAGGCATGAGCCACTGTACCTAACCAGGGGTTATACTTCTTTATTCAGCATAAAGTCTGAGCAACTCAGCTATGTTGTGTCAGACATAGGAGTGTGTTTCCTTTTATTGTTGAGTAGTATTTTACTATATGCATTCACTATAATGATGTTTATTAGTTCTCCTCTTCATGAACATTTGGAGTTTTATCTACTTTCTGGCCATTAGAAGTAAAGCTGCTATGAGCATTCTTATAGAAGTCTTTTTTTGTGAACACATGTTTTACAGTGGGATTCTGATATGCATCCAGATTGGAGAACCATAGACAAGATACTCTCTTGAGATGTCTGATTTTAGTCTTTTTTTTATGCAGTGAAAGTATATTTTTATATAGTGAAAGTGCTGGGCATATTATGACTTGTTTGCTCTTAAATTTGGATGAGTTTATTACACCTCTTTTTTAAAATATTGAAACGTTTGATAACATATATGAGATTTACTGCATATGTTTTACATTATAGTGGGTTAATATTGTAAATCTGACCTCCACTTGGGAGTAGGAAAGGGATTAGTTTGAGTAAGTAAAATTTGTAAATGGTTTATTAGCTTCTTTTTTCCCTGGTCTTACATAGGAGGCATCGTGTATTGAATTTTTCACTTTCACTTACTTTTTACTTCCCCGTTTTAGTGTTACACTAGAAAGTTAACCAAGTGATTAAGAACCATAGGAGAAGGTAGAGTTAATTTATAGACATGAAAATAAGTCCTGCATAATCTAGAAGCTTTAAGTCTGCTTTATAATGGCTGTCTTATAAGGTGCTAATGTTAATAAAACTGCATGATTAAGAAACGCTATTTTATTTTTTGTTATTTAGAGATAAGGTCACATTCTATTGTCCAGGCTGGACAGCAGTGGTGGTGTGGTCATTATCACTGCAGCCTTGAATTCCTGGGCTCAAATGACCCTCTTGCCTCAGCCTCTTGAGCAACTGGACTACAGATACCAGGCACAAAGCCTGGCTATTTTTATTTCTTTATTTTTTTGTAGAGACGGGGATCTCAGTATGTAGGTTTCCCAAGGCTGGTTTGAACTCTTGGCATCAAGTGATCCTCCCACCTTGCCTCCCTAAGTGCTAGGATTAAAAGGCATGAGCTATCACATGTGAGCAGGAAACTCCTTTTTTTTCCTTTGATACAGAGTTTCAATATGTCACCCTTGGTAGAGTGCTGGTCACAGCTCATAGCAACCTCCAACTCCTGGGCTCAAGTGATCCCCTTGCCTCAGCCTCCCAAGTAGCTGGGACTATAGGCGCCCGCCACAGTGCCCAGCGATTTTTTGGTTACAGTTATCGTTGTTTAGCAGGCCTGGGCTGGACTCGAACCCACCAGCTTCAGTGTAAGTGGCTGGCGTCCTACTCATTGAGCTACAGGCACCAAGCCAAGGAAACTCTGTTTTATTTATTATTTATTTTTGAGACAGAGCCTCAAGCTGTCACCCTGAGTAGAGTGCTATGGCATCACAGCTCATAGCAACCTCCAGCTCCTGGGCTCAAGTGATTCTCCTGCCTCTGCCTCCCTAGTAGCTGGGATTACAGGCGCCTGCTACAATGCCCGGCTAGTTTTTGGTTGCAGCCGTCATTGTTTGGCCAGCCTAGGCTGGATTCAAACCCGCCAGCTCAGGTGTATGTGGCTGGTGCCTTAGGTACTTGAGCCACAGGCGCCGAGCCGGAAACTCTATTTTAAAATGATCCATAAATGTAAAGTTTGCTGATGGGTCTCTAAATTCTGATAATGGTAAAGTTTAATGAACCACAAAATTAATGAAGTAGTAATATAGGTATATCTAATAGACAAGAAATAATTATGTTTTATTGCTGCAAGATGGTATAATATGGTGTTTTCCCTTTTGCTAGAAGTTACTGATTGCTGTATAAGTAGGATAGTCATATACATTTTTATCCAACAAGACCCTTTGAGAATGAAAAGAGGCACTATTAATAACTAATATTGAGACAATAGGAATGAACAGGACTGTCCTGGAAAATGTGAACCTTCATATATGTGTGATATAAGGTAAGTCATTCCTCTAGTGTAAACTTTTTAGCAAAATATAAATTTAAATATTTGTTTTTCCTTCTAATTTATTGTAGGTATTATTTGCATTTCAAAAAAGCAAGTTCTGATCACATTGATATACTTTGTAGACTATTTTAATTTTATAAGATCTCTGCTTTTTAAGTATGCTTGCTATAGTTTTTTTCTAACCATATAGGTCAAATAAATTTGAATGTAGAAAAGTAAATTCTTAATCATAAACACTGTCTTATCAAGTTATTCATATTTTGCTTTTCTTCTTTTTTAGGAAAAAATTTGTTATTTTGACTGTTCTTTTGTTTTTTGCCTTCCAGACAAATTATGAAAACAGAATATATAGCTTGAAAGTAGAATGTGGACCTAAATACCCAGAAGCTCCTCCATCAGTTAGATTTGTAACAAAAATTAATATGAATGGAATAAATAATTCCAGTGGGATGGTAAGTTAAAATAGTCATTTTATTTTTAAAATAAATAAATGTAGTTATATTTTAACTAAAATATAGTTATATTTTAACTCTATAATTTATAACATGCATCATAAAATATAGTAGTAATATGTAGTCAAGAGAAAGTTTTACAGAGGCCCTTAGTTTAGCTGAAAGCTTAAAGTTTGTCTTCTGTAGTTTTTCTTTTCTAAATCAGCCTACTCTTTTCTTTTTTTCAAGACAGAGTCTCTGTCACCTTAGGTAGAGTGCCATGGTGTCATGGCTCACAGCAACCTCAAACTCTTGGGCTCAAGCATTCCTCTTGCCTCAGCCTTCAAGTAACTAGCACTATAGGCACTTGCCACCATGCCTGCCTAGTTTTTTTATTTCTTTTTTCAGTAAAGATTGGGTCTCACTCTTGTTCAAGCTGGTCTCGAACTCCTGAGCTCAAGCAGTCCCCCTGCCTCAGCCCCACAGAGTGCTAGGATCACAGGCTTGAGCTACTGTGCCTTGCCAAATTAGCCTATTCTTAAAGACCTAAACCTGCCTAGATGTGATGGTAACACTTTTCTTAGGGTTTTATCAATTGTTTCAGCAGTTATATTTCAGTTGAATCCTTTTTTGGTGAGAAGATGCTCATTATTTCTCTTTGAATGTTCATTGTTTCTCTTTTTTTTTAAAGTACATTTGGTGAAATTAAAAAGATAAATATTCATGAAGGGGGTGTCTGTGTTGGAAGAGTTAGTGCTGGGCATGGTTGTCTTTCTCTTTTTTTGGAGACAGAGTCTCACTATATGTCACCCTCGGTAGAGTGCCGTGGCATCAGTCACAGTTCATAGCAACCTCAAACTCTTGGTCTTAAACGATTCTCTTGCCTCAGCCTCCCAAGTAGCTGGGGCTACAGGCAGCCACCACAACGCCTGGATATTTTTGATTGAAGTTGTCATTGTTGTTTAGCAGGCCTGGGCCGGGTTCAAACCCACCAGCCTTGGTGTATGTGGCTGGCACCCTACTCATTGAGCTATGGGTGCTGAGCCCACCTCAGCCTCCCAGAGTGCTAGGGCTATAGGCATAAGCCACCACACCTGGTCTCTTTTCTTATTTCATTAATTTTTTTTTTTCAGAGTTGGGTGCAGTGCAGATCATAGTTTACTGCAGTCTCCAGCTCCTGGGCTCCTTCTTCCCAGTTTACCTCCTGAGGAGCAGGAACTGTGGGCATGAGCCACTGCACCCTGCTTGAAAAGTCTTTCTTAATTTTTTCAGTTTAAATTTTGTCTCTTGTATTACTGTGTTAGAGTTACTCTGTAACTCTTCTTTTTGCAATTATTATAAATGTATTATTTTCTTTGGCTTTTTTTTTTTGGTGTCTTTAAAAGAAATATTTCTAATACCCAAATTTTAGAGAATGGTACAGTCAGTGTGCATGTATCCTCTGCCTAGCTTTGTCAAATCTTAACATTTGTCTTATTTGTAACAAATCTTTTTTATTAATACAAAGACTATTTTCTAAGTACTGAGTTAACTGTGTGTGTGGCTTTCTCCTGTTTCCCCTTCCCATTTGCTCAGAGGAAGCTCCATCTTGAATTTGGTATTTATTTCTCAGCAGAATTGCTGTGCTTTCACACGTGTACATGCTTCAGTATTGTATCACTTTTGTATGTTATATATATGTCAGTGATTTTTGAGATTGTCTATGTTGATTGATGCAAATTAGATGCTGGTTTGGGGTGTTGAATATTCCATTCTCTACTTGTTGGGCAATCTAGGTTGTTTCTAGTTTTTACTGAAAAGATTGCTGTAATGAACATTGTTGTACAGTATTTTCATACCCTAGGGCTGTGCTTCTCAGGACACCCTGTTGGTTTATTTGGTTTTAATCTGTCATAGATCGATATTGTTGTAAAATATATTAAAAATGAATTACTAGGAAAATAATATGAGAAAATTTTCTCTGTTAATTGCTGTTGAGCTTTCTGAACACTCTTAATTGCTATGTGAAGGACGTAGGGAACCAGGGAAACTCAGTTCATGTCCTGGCATGTTTCCATGGACATACTTTGAGTAGCACTACCCCAGGTCCCTCAGATCCCCAAGGAGGACACCTGTAGAAGTAGATGTGTTCACGATGTGGGGCTTGTCTTCAGCTTGAGTGCTTCCCAGCTGCTGTCTGCAGGGTTATGTGCTGTCAGCCTTGCCTGCATTGTGCATAGTTACCCTGTGGTGTGCATTCCCTCCAGCCCTCCATGTGTCTGAAGTGGAGATTTTGGAAATAGAAGAATAAATTCTTCTTTTAACTATTATTGGAGTGTAGGGGTGTGTTTATGTGTAGGGTATTGGACATCTATTTTTGTCTTTATTGATATCAAAGGATTTGGATTTATTACCTTTTTTTTTGAGACAGGGTCTAACCGAGTTGCCCTCAGTAGAGTACTGTGGCGTCACAGCTCACAGCAACTTCAAACTCTTGGGCTTATATGATTCTTTCTTGCCTTGGCCTCCCAAGTAGCTGGGAGTATAGGCAGTCACCACAACACCTGTCTATTTTTTTTGTTACAGTTGTCATTGTTGTTTAACTGTCTCAGGCTGGGTTTGAACTGGCCAGCCTGTGTGTATGTGGCCAGCACCCTACCCGTTGAGCTGTGGTCTCTGCCCTGGATTTATTATTATTATTATTATTTTTAATGTTGGGGATTCATTGAGGGTACAAGAAACCAGGTTATACTGATGGCATTTGTTAGATAAAGTCCCTCTTATAATCATGTTTTGCCCCCAAAAGGTATGGCACACACCAAGACCCCACCCCCCTCCCTCCTTCCCTCTCTCTGCTATTCCTTTCCTCACCCTTCCCTCCTCCTTTCTCTCTCTGTTCTCCCCTTCCACTACCCCCACCATGTCATTAATTGTCATTAATTGTCCTCATATCAAAATTGAGTACATAGAGTTCCTGCTTCTGCATTCTTGTGATGCTTTACTAAGAATAATGTGTTCCTGGCTCGGCGCCTGTGGCTCAAGAGGCTAAGGCACCAGCCACGTGCACCCAAGGTGGCGGGTTCAAATCCAGCCCAGGCCCCCCAAACAACAGTGACAGCTGCAACCAAAAAATATAGCCGGGTGTTGTGGCGTGCGCCTGTGGTCCTAGCTACTTGGGAGGCAGAGGCAGGAGACTCACTTGAGCCCAGGAGTTGAAGGTTGCTGTGAGCTGTGATGCCACAGCACACTACCTAGGGGGGACAGCTTGAGGCTCCTATCTCAAAAAAAAAAAAAAAAAAGAATAATGTGTTCCACTTCCATCAAGTTAATACAAAGGCTGTAAATTCTCCATTTCTTTAATGGCTGAATAGTATTCCATGGTGTACATATACCACAGCTTGTTAATCCATTCCTGGGTTGGTGGGCATTTAGGCTGTTTCTACATTTTGGCAGTTGTAAATTGAGCTGCAATAAACAGTCTAGTGCAAGTGTCCTTATGATAAAAGGATTTTTTTCCTTCTGGGTAGATGCCTAGTAATGGGATTGCAGGATCAAATGGGAGGTCTAGCTTGAATTCTTTGAGGGTTCCCCATACTTCCTTCCAAAAAGGTTGTACCGTGTTTCCCTGAAAATAAGACACTGTCTTATATTTATTTTTTCTCAAGAAGACACACTAGGGCTTATTTTCAGGGGCTTTCTCTGTGTTGAAATGCATGGCGTGGCTGTGCAGCCCATCATAGAAATCCTGGTAGGGCTTATTTTTTGGGTAGGTCTTATTTTCAGGGAAACATGGTGTTAGTTTGCAGTCCCACCAGCAGTGTAAAAGTGTTCCCTTCTCTCCACATCTACACCAGCACCTGCAGCTTTGAGATTTTGTGATGTGGTCCATTCTTGCTAGGGTTAGATGGTATCTCAGGGTGGTTTTGATTTACATTTCTCTAATAATTAGGGATGATGAGCATTTTTTCATGTGTATGTTAGTCATTCAAGAAGATTGTATTCATGTCTCTTGCTCATTGACATACGGGATTGTTGGCTTTTTTTCGTGTGGATTAATTTGAGTTCTCTATAGATCCTTGTTATCAAGCTTTTGTCTGATTCAAAATATGCAAATATCCTTTCCAATTGGGTAGTTGTCTGTTTGCTTTGGTTGTTGTCACTTCAGCTGTACAGAAGCTTTTCAGTTTAATTAAGTCCCATTTATTTATTCTTGTTGTTGGGATTGCCACGGCAGTCTTCTTCATGAAGTTTTTCCCCAGACCAATATCTTCCAGTGTTTTTCCTATACTATCTGAGGATTTTTATTGTTTCATGCCTTAAATTGAAGCCCTTTATCCATCTTGAATCAGTTTTGTGAGTGATGAAAGGTGTGGGTCCAGTTTCAGTCTTTTACATGTGGATATCCAGTTCTCCTAGCACCATTTATTGAATAAGGAGTCTTTCCCCCAAGGTATATTCTTGTTTAGTTTACCAAAGATTAGGTGGTTGTAAGGTGTTAGTTTCATTTCCTGGTTTTCTATTCAATTCCAAATGTCTATGTCTCTATTTTTGTGCCAGTACCTTGCTGTCTTCACCACTATGGCTTTGTAGTACAGCCTAAGATCTGGTATGGTGATGCCACCAGCTTTGTTTTTATTACTAAGAACTGCCTTAGCTATTTGGGGGGTTTTTTTGGTTCCATACAAAACACAGAATCATTTGTTCCAAATTTTTTTTTTTTTTTTTGGCCGGAGCTGGATTTGAACCTGCCAACTCTGGCATATGGAGCCGGCACCCTACTCCTTTGAGCCACAGGCGCTGCCCATTTTTTCCAAATTTTGGTATGCTGTTGACATTTTAATAGGGATGGCATTGAATAGGTAGATTGCTTTGGGAAGTACAGACATTTTAACAATGTTGATTATTCCCAGCTGTGAGCATAATATGTTCTTCCATTTGTTAGTATCCTCTGCTATTTCCTTTCTTAGGATTTCATAATTTTCTTATAGAGATCTTTCACTTCCTTTGTTAGGTATATTCCTAGGTATCTCATTTTCTTTGAA